ATGGTTGCCCACCATTGCAGCCAGGCCCCTCCCAGTTCACTCCCCCTCTGTTCCTGTGAACTTGTCACATTGGGAGAGCTGGACTGTTCCTTGGTTTGGACTTAATACTCTGGGCAAAAATAGGTACCTGGGAGCCGTCAAGGGCTTTGTGACCTTGTCTTGAGGGTCAGCCCTGTGCCAGAGGGCTGGGACAGGCCAGGCCAGAGTGGTCATCCTAAGCCAGGGGCTTGGTCACTGGTGGATTTTAAAATAATGCTTCATTTTAACTCCCCAAATGCTCCACATTCATTATAGAAAATTAAGGAAATGTATTTTTTTATGCTAAAGTATAACCACCCATGTTCCTTATCAAGAGATAGTAAGTATTGCTGTGGGGGAGGGGCATTTCTTCCATCTTTTCCTACAGATGAGTTTTATTTTCATCCTAAACAGACCCAGAGTGATGACCAAATCTGTTTCAAACATTGCTTGACAGCATTATATTTTGTTTTCTGTCTTTGACTCTTTGTACACAAGATCATGGTTCATAGCTGTGCAGCGGGTACCATGTGGGGGCTGAGGGCTTTATCACTGGGCTCTCAGGACACCAAAGCATTGCTGTGGGGGATGTTTCTGTGTGTGAGCCCTGCAGGTGTCTCTCACGAGTGCCATGTGGAAGCAGACATGCTGGCCATCTTGACTTCCCAGGGGACTTGTTACCAAGGACCGAGAGAGTGGCACTACCCGCTGCAGAGCAGAATGAAGTTTTCCTAGGAGGGTTAGAACCTTCTGGATAGAAGGCTCCATGGGGTCCTATAGCCCTAGCCTCTGTAGACCACAGTCAGGCAGCCCTCTCCAGAGTGGCCTCTCTGGGAATGGCCACTCCTCAGCACAGCTCCTTGACGCTGACATTTGTGTTTAGATGGGATAAAAATATGCCTTGGCGTTCACAGGGAAAGAATGCTAGCCACTCTGTGTTTTGGGATCTTACTCAATGATGGGTTCTAAGCCGCTGCTCTGGCCACCGTGGAGCTGGGACCAGAGCTGGGTGACAAGGTTCTTGTTCCTCAGCCAGGGATTTCCAGCCCTAGGGAGGGACTTGCCTAAGGTCATTCAGCCCCATCGGTCCCAGGGTCCTGAAACCTGGCTGCCTCCTGTTTCAACTTGCACCCACCAAGCCGTGGTGTGTACCCTGAGGTGCAGCCCTAACTTCTGGGCTCACAGCAGCACCCAGCACGTCCTTCCCCCGCCCTCCCCACCCTCACCCCTACCCCAGTGTCAGATCTGATGGTCTGATTCTTGTGTCTCTGTGGCCAATAATTCCAGGGAACTGTTTTGAGTTAACAAGCTCTTTGACCTAAACTAGGCTTGGCCAGTGCCCCCAAAACCTGAAATGAATTCCCCTGCATCTACCCTGTCTTACCAGATTTCTTTCATTCTTTCTTCTTCCTTTTTTTTTCAAGATAAGGTTTCTCTGTGTAAGAGTCCTGGCTGTCCTTGAATTCACTCTGTAAACAAGTAGACCAGGCTGGCCCCGAACTCACAGAAATCTGCTTGCTTCTTGCCTTTCAAGTGCTGGGATTAAAGGCATGCGCCACCACTGCCCAGCCTTACCAGATTTCTTAGACTAGTTTTGCCTTGACTGCAGTGTGCGCATGGTAAGTTACCTAGGCGCCTAGCAGCCAGCCATAGCCTGATTCCCTGACATTTCCTTTTATAAGGTGTTTTTCACCTGAAGGAGAGGTTTTCACGCTTGGGTTTCTCTGTGTGTGTGTGTGTGTGTGTGTGTTTATATGTACGCCTGTGGGAGCCAGAGGTCAACCTTAGCTCTTGTTCTGCAACCACTGTCCACCTCGGTTGTTCGAAACAGGGTCTCTCACTGGCCTGGAGCTCGCCAACTAGGCTAGGCTGGCCAGCCCGCAAGCCTCCTGGATCAGCCTGTCACTGGGATTAAGTGACATAAGACTTTTGTTTTTACTTTGGGATTGGAGACTGAACTCAGAGCTTTATGCCTGGCAAGCATTTTTCCAATTTGAGCTATTCCTGCAGTCCCCCGTTTAGGGATTTTTTGTTTTGTCTTGTTTTTTAAATGCCTCACCATTTACAGGTGGCCTTCTCCTGTACCTTTGCACCTGATGTGGAAGGTGTAGGGAAACCGAGGCAGGGAAGCTAAGCAGCTACTCCCCATGGTACCTGTGGTTATGAAGCAGTGTCCTGTTGTCAGGAAGGTGGCTTCTTTTCCATCACAGAGAGAAAGCTGGACAGAAGCCCGGAGAGCTAGTGTTTCGGGCCTCAGTGGAGGCATTTGGGAAACCCTGGCCAAAGTGTAGATGGAGCTGCAGCTGAAGGTTGTGGGACTTTGTGCTGAGGAGGGGCGGAAGGACTCCCGAGGAGGGCGCTGCAGGCACAAGCGTGGAGGGAGCAGTTGCTAGGTATTGTGGAATGACAGCCAGTGTGTCAGTGAAGGGACCAGGAGAAGGGTAGGGAGCATGCAAGGCCTCTTTCAGCAACGTGTTTGCTGAGGTTGGAGGAATCGGAAGAGTGGGTTTGAACCCAGCCCCAGAACCTCAGCCTGTTTGGACAGTTCCTCCTCCTTCCAGACCTCAGAGTCTGGGTCTGGGCGATGGATGAGATTAAAGGCTGAACAGTTTCTTCACCAGTGACCTGGGATGGTCTGTTCCTACTTGCTAGGCTTGGAGGAGCCCACAGAAGGTGCATGTGAGGACTGAGCAGAGCTTTTTCCTAATGACAGTGCCATGCCTTGTGTCTGTGGGGTAGGGGAGCCCCTTCTCCCTTTAGTGAAAGTGGTACCTTTGCTCTGTGGCGGGGGAGCCAGTGGAGGAGGCAGCTTGCAGGTGACCTTTCTTGAGTCTGAGGTGGTCTGGTGACCTGAGTAACGTCTCTCTGGGTGGAGAGCCCAGCCCCGTGCTCCCTGTACTGCTGACTGTGGAACCCTTGGGTCTGTGGGCTCGTGTGGGTGTGAAGCCCCTGTCGATGTGCACATCCTCGTGGGTCTGTATGTCCCTGTGGATGTGCAGCCCTCTATTGGTCTACACGTTCCCTTGGATCTGCATGCCCCCATGTGGCTAGCTGACAAGATTTGCAAGGCTTTGCCATTCCCGGAAGCCTGCATTTGGGAGACAGCTCAGAACCCTGCGCTGATTTCCAAGCAGATTCGTGAGGCTTGGCCATGCTTTTGGTTTTAAATATCCCTAGGGGATGTTTTAAAATATGGGCTTAAAAAACATAAATAAGAAAGTAAATTGAATTAAGGACTCTGCTCCGTGCAGGAGAATGTTAGATTGAAATCTGCTTTGCCCCGTGGACACAGCTCCCATTTCTGGGACCCATTTGTAGTTGGGGGTGGAACTGAAGTTTAAGAGTCTGTGACTAGCATGTAGGCCTGGGTCCATTCTTGTGCACAGTGTGCAGACCCACCCATCAGGGAGCTACTTGGCCAGGATCAGGGCTAGATGCTGAGACCTGGTCCTTTTCAGCTTGGGCTTGAGTCCCCTGTCCCCACAGTCACCCTGAGCATGCAGGGTGATAAGGACACTGATGCTTGGAAAGGCACATGTCCGTTCAGGATCGCACAGCTGGTAGTCCAGGCCAAGAGGTCAGGGGCCCTTTGAATCAAAATTCTATTTCCTCATTGCCGGACTCCTGAGCTTGTTTCCTTAAAGATGATGGAGAGGACAGATATGGCCTTAGCTTTGGGGAGTGTCCTTTGGGAATCTGAGGAATGATCTCACCACACTCCAGTGTGCAGAGATCCAGCAGTTTCAGGGGTCTCTGTCCCCTCAAAGTCCTTCTAGGCTCGGGAGCCTCAGCGCTTGCTGTTCCATGATCTCTGCTCATGGCTGCCTTAATTACAATGACCTGTTATTTTCCAAGTTGCTAAGCAGCATGCAAGGCCCTTTCGCTGACCGGCCAAGCCCCTTCACCAGTGCTGTGTACTGACCGCTCTCCAGGCTCTTCTAGATGTCACTTCTCACACCACTACTGGCTTTTCATAATGTGTATTAAAAGCTGGGGTGTGTGGTCCTGAGTGAGACTAGGACCTGGTCCCCAGGATTCGCCAGCTGTGCCCTCGACCTCAGCCTCATCATGTATGTTTACTCTACCAGGGTATTTGTTCCTTCTTAAAAAGAGATTGGTTTTTATTTTATGTATATAAGAGTTTTGTCTGTGTGTTTATGTATGCATGTATACCATGTGTGTGCATTGCGGTGCCAGGAGACGGCATCATACCCACTGGAACTAGAGTTCTAGACAGTTATGAGCTGCTATGTGGGTGCTGGCACTCAAACCCAGGTCCTCTGGAAGAGCAGCCAGTACTCTTAACCGCTGTCTCTCCAGCGCCAGGGTCCATTTCTTCAAGCTTCCATTAGAAATCAGTGTGTTTACTGAATTTACTCGTGTGTTTACAGTGGGTCTGCTGTTGTGGAATCCAAAGGCTGAAGCCAAGATGTGTCCAGGCCTGGTCCTTCTGGAGACTCCGGGCTGTTCTCACCTCTCCAGCTCCTGGGGTGGCTGTCAGTCCTTGGTGTTTGGCCTCTTGTAGTGGTGTTACTGCAGCCTCTGGTCCATCTCCACGTGGCCCCTGTGCTGTGTCTGTTTCTAAGGACCCCACCAATTGAACTTAGGACCAGCCTAAGCCCATGTGATCACATTCAAACAGCTTCTGCTATTACGTCTGCAAAGACTCATTTTTCCGGATAAAGTTACTTCCACAGATGTAGGTCCCCATGCATCCTCCATGGTCAGGTCCTATCTACGTTCAGTATACCACATGCTCCATCTTTCTGAGTGTCATCAATGTCATCCTCATTTCTCAAATGAAGGCACGAAAGCCCCAGGTCACCTGGCCTGACCTGATGAGATGGGAACTGGAAGCCACCCCGTGGGGCTGTCAAATGTAATGAGATTGCCGAGCTTGGCAGCTCGCACCCGGTTCCTTGTTTTACCATCCAGCTGGTTCAGGGGCCTTTTGTATGTCTGACCCTCCTCTTTGTTTGCAGGCAAGATGGACTCCGGCACTCCGCCTCCAAGCCCCTCTGGCCCACCTCCTCCATCCGCACCACAGCCCCAGGCCCGGGCCCGGCTCAATGCCACTGCCTCACTGGAGCAGGAAAAGGTTGAAGCACCGCATGCTCCCAGACCTCAGGCTGATCCCAGCGCTGGACCGGGTGCTGGGGAAGCCGCCACTCCAGAGCCACGGGCCACTCACGCCAGCAGCCGGGAAGGAGTAAATAAGGCTGGTAAGGGGTTAGGGCCAGGAGGTCCTGCAGTCCTCAGCCCAGAGCAACTTGGGGAAGCATGGTGGGCACGCGGCCCGGGTTCCTCAAGTTGGGGCTGCTCTGCAGTACCGAGGCTGCAGCATGCAAAGTGTGTGTGGATGTCAACTGTGTGACCAGCCCTCCAGTCACTACCTTTCTCCTGTGCAACAGCCTCATTTACAGGTGGACCACATGACTCAGAGATGTCCACAGTCACGCCTGCCGTCTCTGTGGTCCTACTTGGACCCCCAGCTCTCAGAGTGGCTTGAGGACTTAGTGGTTCAGTCGTGTGTCTTACCTCTGGGGTGTCACCTGTTCCTCTCTGCACCTTGGGGTCATTCTGCGTCCTTCAGATTGGCCCTCGTGGTCCTCCCACCTCCTTTTTGTCCACTGAGAACCTCTGTCCCCAAAGTACTCTGCTCACCTCACCTTTTGGGATGCCACTTGCTCATGAGGCCTTCGACCTCTGGCTCTTTCCAGCCTCAACCTATGGGAAGACCACATATTCTGTTGGTGCCTTTGGAGTACAAGCATACATGTACACACACATTCATATTCTCTCTCTCTCTCTCTCTCTCTCTCTCTCTCTCTCTCTCTCTCTCTCTCTCTCTCTCTCTCTCTCTCTCTCTCTTTTCTCGGAACAGAAGTTTCCCGAGAAATATCCTCCTTATTCTATGTCACAGTCTGATGGTCTCTTCCCAGTTTCTTAATTAAAATTAAAAAGTACTTCTTTGGGGGAGCATTTAAATTGACCTCATGGACCTCTGCTGGGTGAACACTAAGCCTTGGGAATAGTTACCATTCACCTCTGACTTAAAAGTGTCCTGAGATGCAGTGGGACAGTTATGGGCTTAGTGTGGGACTCTGTGCCTTGCAGGGACTGGCCTGTGTGATCACACTGAGGCTTCTTGTCAGCCTCTGGCCTCTCCAGATTCTGTTGCCTCCAGACAGCATGTGTCCCTCTCCTTCTGTGTCAGATGCCAAACGGGGATGGGGGGGCCGGAGTGGGGAATGCGGAGGTGGAAAGTAAGCATCATATAAAATGCATGAGAACACCGCACACTACCAGCAGAGGTTGGAGTCCAGCAGTGCAGGACAGGGTCAATCCTGCAAGGGATCTGCGGGGCAGAGGATGGGAACCTGTCAGGAAGGCGCACCAGGGACCATGTGTAGAGAGTGGATTTGACCTATCATGATGCAGAAGGACAATGCTGCCTCTTGGTGGCAACTGACTGGCATTGACTCCGGCTCTGGGTCCTGTGTACTAGGCTCATCCCCTCCAGTTAGTCCTGCCACCCTGGCATTTGTGTGGCTTTACAGTTTCACTTGACACCGTGTTCCAGTGTGTGGCATCATTCACTGGACCTTTGCCAGTGGTGGCCAGTCACAGAGTGGGGCTGTATCTTTGGGTGAAGGTTTGTGTCAAATTACTTCTCTCCAACAGACTATAAAGAGGGGATGCCTAATGTGGCCTCTGCTGCTGCCATGCAGATGCTGAGACTATCCCTTGCTGTATCTGGCTGGGTTGGTGCGAGGCCCCTTTTGGTCCCTGGGTGGTAGGTATGAGTGATGGGGTACAACCTGCAGTCCTGGTCAGTTAGTCTGTAGCAGGCTTTCTCAGACCACAGCCCCCAAATCATGACACAGAGACTTCTTTTTAATTATGAAAGCACAGCCTTTAGCTTATGTTGTCTCACTAGCTCTTATAACTTAATTTAACCTCTTTCTCTTAATCTACATTTTGCCTCGGGGCTTTTTACCTTTCTTTCATTCCGTATGTCTTACTTTCTTGCTTCTTCCATGTCTGTCTGTCTGGCCCCGGGTGTCTCCCTCTCTTTTCCCCTCACTCTTTTCTCTTCTGAGCCTAGATTCCTTCTCCTACTTATTCTCTCTGCCTGCCAGCCCCACCTATCCCTCTACTGCCTAGCTATTGGCCATTTGGCTTTTTATTAGACCAGTCAGGTGTGTCGGGCAGTCAGGGTGAGACAGCAACACATCTTTACATCATTAAACAAATGCCGCGTAAACAAATGTAACACATCCTTCATAGTTAAAGCAATAGTCCCCAACACAAATGTAAACCATCTCTTACCTAGTTGAAGTTATAATATTTAATAGTCAATATTCCACAACATTGTTCCGTCACCTTGTTCCAGCTGTTGGCATCTTCTGTTTCCTCCTAGCAGCCCTCAATGACCACTCCAACTCAGCAGCACCCCCACCCAGCACCTACCTGTCAAGCCCCCAGATTAGTGGTGAACACCACTGTATCTACCACTGTTTGCCAGCCTGTCCACAGATCAAGGCCTGGAGTTTCAGTTCCTGGATCAAGGGACCACGTCTTCTGGCTGCCTCCCTGGCAGAGCTGAAGGGTTTCGGCCTGGTTGGCTGGGGCTGAGGCTCCTGGGCAGCTAACATTGCCTGGACAATGCCACCCTCAGCGCTGCCCTGCCCTCAGGCCCTTGGCTTTATGAATCTTCTTAAAAGATCACCATGTCCCTCAGCTTTGCCTCCAAGGCAGGCAAGGCCTGCCCCCAGATCCAAGCCCGGAACCAAATGCCACCCACTCCTTCTCTCTGATATCGTGTGACTATGGGGGCAGAGGCCGTGGCCGGAAAGCTGGGTTTCAATCTGGGTTACTGAGTAAAAGGCCCAGACCGCTGTTTCAGATACCACCCAGGAAGCAGGCATTAGCTGTGTGTGCTCTGAGACCCACAGTGGCACTGGGAAGAGCCAGCCAGGTGGGTCAGCAGTCTGGAGTTTCTAGTCCTTAAAGTCCAAGCTTCAACTTCCCTGTCCCTGGTCACTGATGTGGGACTGTGGCAGGGGCAGTGGGGCCTAGAGGTCCTGCCAGTCAGCTAACGTGTCTGCAGGTTTACTGAGCACCTGCTAAGATATGGACGTGTAACTCCAGCAGGAGGCTTTACCTAGTACCTCTTTAGGCCTCCTGCTGCATCAGCCCCTCCCCCACTACGAGCCTAGGGTTGGGCACTGTCGCCTGTCACCATCTTTCTCAGATGAGAAAGCAGATGGAAAAAGAAGCTGTGCACCCAGGGTCCCCAGCTGGAGTGGGAGACATGGGAGTTAGGAGTAGTTTGACTCTGTGTTTACCAGTGGGCCACCAGGGACTTGTTGGCCAAAGACAGAGGATACACTGCATGCCTGGTGAATTGAGTCCATTGTGCCCAGGGAACCTTCACCATCCCCAGAGTGGAGCCTGCCAGGCTTTGGTGACAGGGTCCAAGGCTCATGCCTCATGACTGCCCTATAGGACCCTTCCCAAGCCTGTGCTGTATGATGGTAAACTGTTGTATCCTTGGGGTTGATCTCAGTGCTGGGGACTTTGGTTGTAGCCCCTAAGGGAACCCAGAGTGGTCTATTTCCTCTTCAGAGCATCAGAAGTATGCCTGGGGGGCTGCCTAGAGAAGGTATCATCTGAATTGCCTTTCAAAACCTGGGACATGGACCAGAGCTGCTTAGGGGGAGGGGGTCCCCCTTCTCCAGCTCTCCTCCAGATTCCCTTCTGGTTCACAGAACTTACTGGAGCACTCACACTATTGACCCTGCCATTAGTCCGGAAAGCCATCTGCCATATGAGAAGACGCTACTGATGGTGCTCATGGCCGGACTGGGATGCTCTGAGACCGGACAGCCAAGGGGACCGGTGACATGGGCTAGCAGAACACCACAGGAAGTTGTGAGACTCTGGGGGAGCAGTGGTGCCGACTGCACATCCAGATGGGGCCCTTCTGAGTTTTGCCCCCGCAGTGCTGCCCAGGTCACAGGCGAGTCGCCTCCAGCTGTGTCCAGCCTGTCGGCAGGAGTTCATAGCAGCATAGCCCAGAGGTCAGCAGAGGAGCCCAGCACCTCTTCATAGGTGTCCTGGGCTTTGGCCTGAAGGGTCCTGTCAATCTCCTCAGCAGAAGCCCAGAGCCTGGTCCTAATAAGCTAGGCGGCCTAAGTGACACAGTGGACACAGAGGGCCGGGAGACGCCTCCTGGTCCACTGATGAGCCCTGCTCATGTGCCCCTCTGGTGGAAGGACTTGAGTAGACTTCGCTGCTGGGTTGGGTTAAGCGACACTACTCTGGGCCTGTCGGAGACTTATGGGCCATCATGCTGCACAGGGCCCCTGGCCTGGCGTGTGTGGTTCTGCAGCCCTGGCCTGGGTGCACCTTGGACCACACATGGGCCTCTGAGACAGAGGCCGTCTCGGTCCCAGCCTGGTTACAGCCCTTTCTCCTCACCCCTCCGGCCCTCTCAGGAGCCCCTGGGCCTCACAGGTCTTTTGGTAGAACCATGGCTGTTTAGGTCAGGAGCCAATGTAGATGTGAGTGTGGGACCCTGCTGGCCTGAGGTCACACAACGGAGCACGGCTCTCAGAGTCACACTGTTGGTAGTTTAGGAGGCAGCAGAGCTTCTCTTCCCCAGCCCCCGACCTTGTACCCTCCTGTGTGCCCGTCCTTGAGTGCACACTGTGACCTAGTGCTTAAGCTGCCTGCCGTGAAGCCACCCGTGGTGGCCTCTGAGTCTTCTGGAAAGCGGGCAGCACGCCTCTGTTTGTGACTTCCGCCTCTGGCTGCATTCCAAGCCCCTAACTAATGTCAGCCTCTCCAGGAAGTCTCTCCAGGCAGGGCTGTTGTCTCCAGTCATCATGTTACCTGAGCTGACAACATGGATGTCGTCACTGGCTCTCGGAGTTTGCTGTGACAATGACGGGTTCATCAGCTTGGTGCCTATGGCTCCTTGGCCCAGCAACTGCCTGCTGGGTGGATGATAGGGGCCGAATGCCTTAGCCTGTTCAGGCCACTAAACTACGGTTGTCTACCTGTGCCTTCCCCAAGGCTCTGCTAGCCAGAGGGTGGAGTCCCTACTGTCCCACAAGTGTTGAAGAACCCCTCTTCCCAGAGTGATCCTGATTGTCCCAAGTGGGGGGATTCTATCAGTTCCGACTGTCCTGTGTGGAGGAATATTCCCAGCTCCCTGTGGGAGACCCCTTCAACCTGGCTATCCTACCTGGGAGACCCCATGGGCCCAGGGTGGCCCCAGCTGCCCTGTTCATTGTGGAGCCCCTCAGCCAGGTAGCCTTGACTATCCAGTGTGGGAAAACCCTGGTCCACATGATCCTCTGCTCTGGCCACAAGGGTCGTGTGGCCCCGGGGCCTTTGCCGTTCTTCCCGCCCATCAACATAACCCCTCATGGTGGATGGACAGAGACATCTGGCGGCCGAGGACCCCGGACCAATGATGAGGAAGTGTGGCATGTTAGAGACAGGATGCTCTGTCAGATTTATTGGTTGTGTGTTTTTTAACGGTCAAGTGTTTGGCATGCTGTCGGAAGTTTAAGGAACCATTAGGTGTAAGATGGCTTGGTGGTGTGGAGACAGAAGGTAGCATGCGGCATGGAGGTTGCCTCTGGGAGTGCTTGGTGTACCATCAGGGCCGGGAGGGAAAGATGCCAGAGGCTGCGTGGTGTGGCTGAGCATGACCCGCAGGCAGCACCACGGTTGCCCATCAGAGTGAGTGCTGGACTGGTGTGCTGGGATGCATGGGGCAGAGGAGCACTGCAGGCCTACTCACAGCTACTCCCTTGTCGGCCCACTGTTTGTTCTGAGTTTGCTGAGCTGTACTGCTGGGAGCTGGGGCTTGGAGACCAGTCGGACCAGTGCAGTGGACCACACCCGTGCACTGCTGGGGGCCAGGATGGGGGAAGGAGCTGGGGCCAGCAGAAAAGAGTGTACCACTGGGGCTGTCCTCCCCAAGACGGCCAGCAGAACTGCCAAGTGCATGGGGCCTGTGCGAGAACACCAGCTGAAGAGATGGGCAGGGCCCTGTTCATGGGCTCACAGAGGCCAGGAGCTCCTCAGAATTCTATGGCCTACTTAGGACTGTAACTCATCACATATGACTGTAACTGACTGGAGTTAGTTCAGGGACCTCTCAGTTGCAAGTGACAGAAACCCAGTATGCACTGGCAGAAACAGGAGTGGGGGGCAATGGCAAGCACCTCTCTCTCTCTCTCTCTCCCTCCCTCCATCCATCCATCCCCCTCTCTCTTTCTTCCTTCCTTCCTTTCTGTCTTCCTTTCTTCCTGTGTATGTAAAGTGTGGCGTGACGTGTGTGTCTGAGTGTGTTCCTGTGATTGTGCAGATGTGTGCACAAGACGCCAGAGGAAGATGTTGGGTGCCCTCCTCTATTGCTCTAATTCCCACGAGACAGGGTCTCTCATTGAATGAGAAGCTTCTTGTGTGGGCTTATTGGCCGACTGGCCAGAGGGCTCCCAGAGGGATCCATCTTCTTCTGGTCTCCAGTGCTGGGCTTGCTGGCATTCACAGCCATGATTAGCTTTTCGAGCAGGCACTATGGACTTAAATTCAAGTCCTCTGGATTTCCCTCTGCACTATCTCCCCAGCCCTCTAGAGACTCTAGAGTAACTTTTGGCTTCAGGTGAGGCTGGACCCAGGAGTTCATATGCTGTCACTAGGAGGTACCCCCTTTCCACTCTTCCCCTCCCCTCCCCTCCCCTCTCCAGTCTGCTCAGCCTTCCTGTGTTGTCCCTCTGTCAGGTAGGCTCGCCTCATAGGGTACCCCTCCACAGAGCGAATCTGGCATGAGAGGAAGGCTGTTCTTCCAGATCCAACACAGACTCTCTTGGCTTGACTATGTCCATCCCTGAACCATACCCTTGTTCAGGGATGGGAGGTGCCAGGTGGGCTTGCGTGCATTTCCCTACAGCCCTGGGCGAGGTTATTGCTTATTTCTGATTGGAGTGAGATGAGATCATGAGGATAGAGCCTCATAAATGGGATTAGTGCCCTTATGAAATAGGTCCCAGAACTGTCTCGCTTCTTCTAGGCAGGGCACCATAAACTATAAACCAGGCCCTCCTGAGATCTGTCTGCTGGCGCCATGAACTCGGACTTCTCAATCCCCAGAACCCTAAACAATAAACTCCAGTTTGTAAGTTCCTAGGTTATAGCATTTGTCGCAGCAGCCCTGACAGTGAAGAAAAAAGGTACCTTAAGAAAAAAGGAATGAATGCCCGTCCACTGTGCCCTCCAAAGCTGCAGTGTCTGATGAGTATGGATGTGCATTCTCACTCGTTAGGGCCTCTCAAACTACAGCCCTGCAAGTGAATTGGAGTTGAAGGGTGACAGGGGGACTTGGGTCTGCACCCCACTCCCAGTCTTCACATCCACAGAGCTCCTAGTGACAAACACCCCTGGTATAGAATGTTCTGGCTCGCTAGCAGCATCGGTGGGCAACCCGCTGCCTCCCAGTCTCCCTTTCTGTCCCAGCCTCTTCCTCCTCCTCCTCCTCCTCCTCCTCCTCCTCCTCCTCCTCCTCCTCCCTCTTGCTTCAATGTTAAAGTGAGAGTCAGTGACAGAACTCCTGAAGCCTGGTCCCGGCAACCCTCCATTCCACTGTCGGGTGTAAGGTCTGGCTGTGTGACATTCTGATTTCTCTTCATGTTCAAGGTCCCGTGAAAGCAGATGTGGAGATCCCCTTTGAAGAGATCCTGGAGAAAGCCAAGGCTGGAGACCCCAAAGCACAGACAGAGGTGAGGACCAGCATGGGGCGGGTCTTAGAATGTGACCCCAGCACAATGAACCTGACTTGGTGTACTGTGGCTCATGGAGTAGGGGTCTGGCCTTTTCTTCAGGGGTGAGGAACTAGTATGGTTATGTAAACAAACCTCCATATTGGTTAGTTTGGGGTGGTTTTTGTTTGATTGATTGTTTTTTCCTTCAGTACCTTCTTGGTGCATCCATGTTCATCACTCTGGTCCTGTACACACATCCTGTCTTGGGCATGCATTCCTCCAGAGCACCCTCCCTCCTTCCTGCCCACTCACCCTCTTCCAGGTGTCTGCAACAGGCTTGCTCCTGAGGAGGGGCAGTCTCAGCTGAATGCCCAGGGCATTGTGGGTCAGGAGAGTCAGGAATGGAGGAGCTGAGGCAGGACAAACTTGCTGGGTGTCAGAGACCCAGGTGCACAGGGAAGAAGGAGGGAGAGGCGGACAGAGATCTGACAGGCCATCGTTTCTGTCCTCAAGGTGCCGTGGCAGGTGGGAATCAGCTGTCCCACGTTTTGGCAGCAATGGAGGCCAAGAAAGTTTCATCCCCTCCTACCTGCCCTTCAGTACTATGTAGGCAGCGACACCAGTCCATGTTCCTGCTATTTTCCTTCCTGGGGTCTAGAATGACCCCCGACCTCACCTCAGCCTGCCTTAAGGGGAAGCTACTGTGTGACAGAGGGATTTAGAGTGACCTCTGACTGCCTAACTTCCATGTTTGTGGCTCAAGCAAGTGACTCCTGGGGTTTCCCACCCTACAGCCCTCGAAGAAGGGAGAAAGTCTCTATGCAGGGACACAAGGAAAGTTTTCTGTTCACATCTGAGGGGCCAGTTGAACTGTGAAATTGTCCCCAGCCTGTGCCCCATGCCTCCGGAGGCTAGTGAACACCCACAGAGCTGGTTGGATTGTGAAGTCCTCCCCAGCCTCCTGAACTTGGGGAGCATGCCCAGTTCTTTCCTGGCCTGTCTGTGTTTTTGGCTCCACTTTGCCCATCTGTAGAGTGGGAAGCTTGGACTGGGTTAACGAGCATTTTTTGCATAGGGCCAGATAGAAAATATTTTGGGCTCCACAATCTGTCTAAACTAATCATTCCCATGGAAAGCAGAAAACTTGTCATGCTAACATGTAAGCAAGCGGCCATGGTTGCCTTCCAGTAGGTCTGTCAGGGCTGGCGAGATGGCTCAGCAGGTAAAGGTGCTTGCAGCCAAGGCTGGTGACCTGAGTTCGAGTCCCAGAACCCACATGGTGGAAGGAGAGAACTGAATCCCACAAGTTGTCCTCTGACCTCTACATGTGTGCCGTGGCATACATGCACATACACTTTTACATATCCAAGAAATGAATAAATCAATGTAATACTTTTTATTTTAAAATTCTATTATAAAAATAAGTAGTAATCTGGCCTAGGACCAGGCTGGCTTCTCCGGGCTACCTTCTCCAGCTTGAGCTGTTTGAGAGGCGGCAAGTGGACTCAGCCATTCTAGTTTTCTGGCCGGAATGGGGTTCTGGCACCCAGTAGGCAAGAGCAAGGGAAGGAGCTGAGCACAGTGTAGCGCCCACATTCTGTCATTATGGAAGGCTCCACACCTGCCCCACAGTGAGGAGAACAGGATCCCGGAAGCTGGAGGGTGATGGATGTCTCTCTCTGCTCTCAGGTGGGCAAACACTACCTACGGCTTGCCAATGACGCAGATGAAGAACTCAACAGCTGCTCGGCCGTGGCCTGGCTAATCCTGGCAGCCAAGCAGGGCAGGCGGGAAGCTGTGAAGCTGCTGAGGCGGTGCCTGGCTGACAGGAAAGGTGAGGCTGTGTGGGGCCTTCAGCTGCTGCCCTTGGGGTGTGTGGTTTGCAGTGCTGGCCGCGCTGTTGGGAAGGGAGAAGTCTTTTGGGTCGCCTCCTTGCCCTGCGAGGTTTTTGAAATCTGCCATGGACTTCATATGCCAGACTAATTCCTTGTCCTTTGTCCTGCGCTTGGTGTCCGCAGGTAATTGATTAGTCTCACTTCCCTTCTGGGTTCTAGTCCAAATCAGGAAGTAAATCTTAGAGTCAGAGGAGGCAGCTGTCCCAAGTGCCTCGGAGTGTAAGTGTCCTGTAGGCTCCAAGGTAACATGGGTGTGTGTCACTGAGTTTTTGTTGTGGCTGTGTATTTTGATATTTATTTTTGATTGTAAGTTTTTATGCTTGCTGTATAAAACTTGTAATACATAGAAGCCACAAGTATACAAATCACTCATAACCAAAGCCAGGGAGACACTCTGTATCTCTCTTTCTGAGATATATCAGTGTTTTCAAAGTTACAGTTAGTGTACGGAATCGTTTCTCTTTGACAACTAGACTGGTCACTTAGGAGAGAAACAAAACAACACAAGAAAAGATTTTCCCCTTAAATTCTGTCAGCCAGGATGTCTCAGCCAGACTGCCCAGGCCACAGCAGGTAGAGTAACCTAGAGCCCCCCAGGTTAGGGGAGCCAGTGCAACCCACATGGCGGTGGTCTGGAGCCAGTGGTTCCCAGGGCTACCTAGGAGCAGGGGCAGGCACACGGCTCTGGAGGGTGGGAAGGGAGGCAGCACAGGCTTACCCGCTCTGCCCTGCCCTACCCTGCATTCCTGCCTGAGATTGCTGGGCAGATAAGAAGTCCAGTCCGAGAGAAGAGAGAGAGAGAGAGAGAGAGAGAGAGAGAGAGAGAGAGAGAGAGAGAGAGAGAGAGAGAGAGAGGTGCATTTTGCCACTGCTAGCCATGTCTCTGCTCACCTCACTCCCCTGGGCCATCTGGCATTCTTTCTTTGTTCTCTGTGTGTGTGGAAGGCTCCATGTTCCTAGCTGCCCTGGGTAGAGTCCCAGCCCAGAAAACACTGGGCACAGGGGCGCCCCCTCTTGCTATAGTTCCACTGGCAATTGCAGTGAGTTTATTTCTCTTCCGACTCGTGGCTTGGACCCGAAGCACCTTGCTTTGTACCTTGTCCCTATTGTCGTACCTGCTGATGAGGGTGCCCTGAGGACGAGGTGTGAGAGGGAACAGGAAGGGCTGGCAGCCCTGTGCTCCAGTGGACACTCAGGCATGGCCAGACCCGCCTGGCCTCCAACTTGGAGCATGGGTGCTGTCTTGGATAGGCTCAGATGCACTTTGGGGTCAGGTATCCACTCTACCCTGAGTCAAAGAAGCCAGTCAGTCCTTCCTCATGGCCCTGTGCCCAGCCTTCTGGGAGTGTCCCTGGGGGCTGCGGTGGGGCCTGGGTTTGCCTGATGCTTTTGTCTGTCAGGCATCACTTCTGAGAATGAGGCTGAGGTGAAGCAGCTGTCCTCTGAGACTGACCTGGAGAGGGCCGTGCGCAAGGCTGCCCTGGTCATGTACTGGAAACTCAACCCCAAGAAGAAGAAGCAGGTGGCCGTGTCCGAGCTGCTGGAAAATGTCGGGCAGGTCAATGAGCAGGGTAGGCCAGCCACATCACCAACAACCGACTTCCCCTTGGCTTCCCTGTGGGGGGTTGGAGCCCCATGGTTAGGAGGTCACTGGCATATTGGCAAATACTGTAAATACCATTTATTGATCATTTATTGATCGGAGTGTATCCTGGGCTGCTTCTGGTTCAAGGGCCAGAGATACAGGGAGTGACAGAAGCCTGGTTCTCACCCCCAGGGAGCTGACTACTATATAATATTGACTGAAGATGGTCAAGGGCAGGCAGTGCCAGCCAAAGAGGGGAAGGGTGGAGTGTGTTCATCACTGAGTAGAAACAGCCCTGAGCATGCTGGTCCTCCTTGTGGGATGGTTCAGAGATGGCTACCCAGGGATATGGCCCTTGCGTATGATGGGACCCCAAGCCCTGTGATCCCTGAGCACAGTGGTAGCCCAGGATCCTGAGGACATGTGCTTGATGAGCTATGGGTCATGAAGGGACAATTGGGCAGCCTCAGCTTCCAATCCTCTCTGATCCTTACAGATGGAGGGGCGCAGCCAGGCCCAGTCCCCAAGTCCCTGCAGAAGCAGAGGCGCATGCTGGAGCGCCTAGTTAGCAGTGAATGTGAGTATGACTGCCCATCCTGCTGTCTGCTGTCTGCTTCCCAATCACCACCCAGCACGGCATCCTCTCTCTCCCCTGCATCCTAGCCTGGGTCACCTACCAGGGTCTCTGGCTTAAATGGACCTGCATTCAGTCCCTTTGAGTGACAATGTTTTTGTCCCTGGGACCTGAGCCTTGTACACTGGGAGCTCAGACTACAGTGGGAAACAGATCCATAGTGTGACAGTCCTCATCGGGTGAAGGCCAGAGTCGGGGCTGGTGCCTGAGTGAGCAGGAAGTTCAATGAGGGAGATAGGTCTATAAACAGGAAGGAGAGGGGGACCAGGGTGTTGGGGGGGGATGTGTCCCGGTGTGGGCACTTGCACTGAGGCACAGGTAGAGTGTTACAGCATCCATGTGGAATGAGAGAGAGGCTGGGGGCACACAGAGCTGGAGATGCTCTTGGAATGTCTGGGATCAAAGAATTAGAAGACACCAGACCATCACACCGTGTGTGGTGTGTGTGTGGGGGGGGAAGATCTGTAGTTCAAGGGCCCCAGGCTCCCATCCTGGAGAAGATGGACATGTGGGGGAGGGGGCTTAGGGCTTCTCATCACTGATAGGAGAGTTGAGTCAAGAGCATCTTTGTGAGGCTCCGTGGGTGGGACAGGGGCTCACAGTTATGATTCATTAACTCATGAATGCAGCCTCCCCAAGCTAGCCCAGCAAAGGCTTCCAACATGGCCGTGGCTCTTGGGGACTCTCGGCCAGCGTCTAGCATTTGACTTCCCTGGAGGCTGGTAGTCCAGCCTTTGACACACGCTGAGTTTCTTGTCCCCAGTGTTTCCCAGAGCTTAGAAAAGCATCCGGTACATAGTAGGCTCTTGGCAAACACGGGTGGCATAGAGAGGTTTACAGACACACAGTGGGCTCTCAGGGGATCCTGGTAAGGATGGGGGCAAAAGGCAGACTTACGCTGGCTCTCTATAAACCCTGTGAGGTGAGAGCTTGCCGGGCACACAGTAGGCCTTGTGGGACGGAGGAGTTATTGGGTGTGTAGTAGGTCTTTTGGGGGGTCATGATGGATGGGGGTCAGAGGGTCGCAGGTCCACAGATCCTGTTGTGTGGAGGGCTGGGTGGTGGCTGGCCTCAGGGCAGCTAGTCCTCAGCACCTTGAGGCCCTGCTAGGTGGAAAGGAGAGAAGGACATCAGAGGGTAGCAGGTAGCAGGGATGCAGGCTGATTGACGGTCTAGCAATAGAGCTTGGCTTAAGGGGTTGGGTGGACTTCAGATATTAAGGACTAGGAGGACAAGTCACTTCATGTAGGTAGCATGTCACCTAGGTCAGAGGAAGAGGTCAGGGATAACAGGTGGTAGACCCATGACTTCCCCCCCACCACTTTCTTTTCCATGTCCTTGCCCAAAGAATGGGCCTGTGCCTGAACCCAGATTGCCATCCTACGTCATCTATGTATCCGGGCTTAGTGGTTTGGAGAACCTGGTATTTTTTTTTCCTTGCTTCAGCCAAGAACTATATTGCTCTGGACGACTTCGTGGAGCTCACCAAGAAGTACGCCAAGGGCATCATCCCCACCAACCTGTTCCTGCAGGACGAGGATGAAGATGAGGATGAGCTGGCAGGGAAGAGCCCCGAGGACCTGCCGCTACGCCAGAAGGTAAGTGCGGTTCCCGCCTGGCGAACGGGTCCTCTCCCAGAAGCTGCGGGTCAGAAAGGTCCTTGACTTCCTAGACACAGCCGGATCTGGGTCACTGTCCCTTGGGTCATCTGAGGTTCCTGTGTGAGGAGGTGTCCTCAGGAAAGCAAAGGCAGGGTCATGCAGGTGTGCTGGAGTGATCTTCACAGGGCGCTCGGGACTCTTCCCATGTCTGTGCAGATGTGCGTGGGCAGCAGGCCAAGGCAGAGAGTTGCACTTTCATTTAGGTTTACTATGTAGCAATGTTGTCTGTGGCCCGGGAAGGAGGCCACTTTCTAAATATGCCTTCCCAAAACCCAGAGCTAGGGTCTGTGGGCCAGCTGAGTTGTGGATCTGGTCACTGAACCTCCTATACAGGGACACTAAGAATGAGCCAGGAGGGCAGACTCACTGGAGGGAGACAGCAGGAAGAGGAGGGACATAGAAATGCACTTGGCAGGTCTCCACACTGTTGGTGTTACTCTGTGCAGACACAGGGTGTGGCCATAGGCCCTTCGCAGAGTTGCCCCAGGTCAGCTTGTGAAGCTGGGTCAGATGTATCCATAGCTCAGTCTGCAGGAACACGAGCATCACTGGGTATTGGGCAGTCTGACCCAGGGAAGTGCTTCACTGCCGTGCGGCCACAAAGCCGAGGCCCTCACAGGGACCTATCCCGAGGAATTGTTAGGTAGCAAATAGCTGTGTATGCCACAGTTCCAGTGTTTATGACTAGGAAGAGATGAACCACGCATGAGTAAGATTGGGGCAAACAGGTCAAAATGGGAGCAGCAACTTGAGAAGGCTTAGCTGGGTGAGCTGGCATGGAATGGCTGGAAAGTCTCCACAGGGGGCTGGAATGTGGAGCAGGTCACCGCAGGGGACGGGGAGGCAGGACAGACATAAGAAAGGGGGGAGCAGTTACCACACTCCAGAGAGATGAGACCCATGGGTGAGCCATGCCCCCAGGTTGTTGACAGGTAAAGCCTCAGCCTTGCCACTGAGGACAGGTAGGGGTCCAGAGCAGAAAGGACTGGTACTCGTAAAGTTCTGAGCATCAGGGTGGCACAGAGGCTCATGGCTGAGGAAGGTCCATCCAGAACTGGACTGCACTGAGCATGCTCACAGACAGGATACCCAGATGGTGTTCCTACCATGAGAGGAGGAAGCCAGGATCCATAGTTCTTGGCAAAGAGGAGCCCCCATAACACACTTTTGCTAGTGAGGTCAAGATGGAAGGATGGATTGAAGAAGACTCTCGGGCCAGAGCTTTCCAGCTGGCACTGCGATGCCTCCTTCTGCAGAGCCCTGGTCTGAGTGCGCGCCATGGCCCTTCACAGTGACATGACCGTCTGAACTCTGTGAGGTCAGGAAGTCCTTTTAAAGAGAGAGATTTAAAGTCCATGGGGAGATAAACAAGGCCCGGTGCTGCAGTGTTTGGACCCGTCACGGCCCCTTTGTCTCTTCCTACTGGGTGTCATTGTGCAGACAAACCAGCAGCGAGCCCTCACAGGAGTCTCCACCCTCAGGCTGCCTTAGCCCTCAGTGCCTTGCCTTGCAGGGGACCAAGAGGCTCCCGAGAGAATGGCAGGAGCCTCTGTACACTGACAACTCCCACAAAGAAGGTTCTAGATGCCAAGCAGCTTTCCTCAAGACTGGGGAAGCAGGGTGGCCCCTTAAAAGCAAATGTAATGTTTTAAAATCCTCGTATGTTTTACATTAACTTACGGAAACTCTGCCGTGGACATTTGCTCTCAGGTTTCAGCAGAAGCTGGCTTCCTTCCACTTGCCTCGGGCATGCTGGTTGACGGCGGCCATAGTCCGTGGCAGCTTGGGTTGCAGTGTCAGTGGGAGGACTGGGTACTGAGCTTCCAAACCTCACCATCCTTCCTCAGGGCTCATACTGCCATCACTATGTAGTGTGTAGTGTAGCCTGGTGAAGTAATGGTTACTGTCCCTTTGGCAATTGAGGAGACTGAGGCTCAGGGAGTTGACATCTGTACCCTGGAGAGGGACACAGTCTCTGATGGGCAGCTCAGTACTGTTGTATCTTGAAGCAGGAGGCCTGAGGGAAGGGCGGGGGCTGGGGACCCATGTGCCTTCCCCTAGATATGGTAGGCATGTGCAAATCCTTAATCACCCTAGCAGAAGGTGGGTGTCTTAGTTACTGTTCTATTGCTGTGAAGAGACACCATAACCCAGGCAGCTTAGAACAGAAAGCATTTAATTGCTTGCCATTTCAGAGGATTAGCCCGTTCCCACTATAGCGGGAAGCATGGCATCAGGTAGGCAGACATGGCACCGGAGCAGAGCAGTAGTTGAGAACTTACATCCCGATCTGCAAGTTGCAGGCAGAGAAAGAGAGCAAGACTGGGTGGGCCTGGTGTGGGCTTTTGAAACCTTAAAGCCTACCTCCAGTGGGCTTTATCTCCTCCATACCTCCTCCAACAAGGCCACACCTTCTCCAAAAGTGCCACACTTCCTAATCCTTCCTAAATAAACAGTTCACCAGTTGGGAACCAAATGTTCAGATATGTGAGCCTATGGGGGCCATTCTCATTCAAAACAACAAGTGGGAATCTCAGCATGGAGGTATAGAGTATGGGGCTTAGAAGAAGGCAGGCCTCTAGGGACTGTGGAGTGTGGCGAGCACTTCCGTGGGGGAGGTGCTCCCGGTGGATGGACCAGTTAGGACAAGGCCCGGAGGTGGGAAAACATGGGGTGAGGCATTGCCTTGTGCAGAATCACAGAACTAGAATTGGGGAGTCTGTGCCGGATAGCAAGTGGCTCTTGTCCTGGTTCGTTCCAACTGCCTGTCTCCCCCTAGGTGGTGAAGTACCCTTTACACGCCATCATGGAGATCAAAGAGTACCTGATTGACTTGGCCTCCAAGGCAGGCATGCATTGGCTGTCCACCATTGTGCCCACGCATCACATCAATGCCCTCATCTTCTTCTTCATCATCAGCAACCTAACCATCGACTTCTTCGCCTTCTTCATCCCCCTGGTGGTCTTCTACTTGTCCTTTGTGTCCATGGTCATCTGCACCCTCAAGGTGTTCCAGGACAGCAAGGCCTGGGAGAACTTCCGCACGCTCACTGACCTGCTGCTGCGCTTTGAGCCCAACCTCGACGTGGAGCAGGCTGAAGTCAACTTCGGCTGGAACCACCTGGAGCCCTATGTCCACTTCCTGCTCTCAGTCGTCTTCGTCATCTTCTCCTTCCCGCTGGCCAGCAAGGACTGCATCCCCTGCTCGGAGCTGGCCGTCATCTCTGCCTTCTTCACAGTGACCAGCTACATGAGCCTGAGCAGCTCCGCCGAGCCCTATACCAGGCGGGCCCTGGTCACCGAGGTGGCTGCTGGGCTGCTGTCCCTTCTGCCCACCATGCCTGTGGACTGGCGCTTCCTGAAAGTGCTTGGCCAGACGTACTTCACCGTGCCCATTGGCCACTTTGTCATCCTCAATGTCAGCCTCCCCTGCCTGCTCTACGTCTACCTCTTCTACCTCTTCTTCCGAATGGCCCAGCTGAGGAACTTCAAGGGCACGTATTGCTACCTGGTGCCCTACCTGGTGTGCTTCATGTGGTGTGAGCTGTCGGTGGTCATCCTGCTCCAGTCAACCGGCCTGGGCCTGGTCCGCGCCTCTATTGGCTACTTCCTCTTCCTCTTCGCCCTCCCCATCCTGGTGGCTGGCCTCGCCCTGATGGGCATGGTGCAGTTCGCCCGATGGTTCCTGTCACTGGACCTCACCAAGATCATGGTCACCACGGTGATCTGTGGCGTGCCCCTGCTTTTCCGTTGGTGGACCAAGGCCAACTTCTCGGTGGTGGGGATGGTCAAGTCCCTGACTCGGAGTTCCATGGTCAAGCTCATTCTGGTGTGGCTCACGGCCATCCTGCTCTTTTGCTGGTTCTACGTGTACCGGTCAGAAGGCATGAAGGTCTACAACTCCACGCTTACCTGGCAGCAGTACGGCTTCCTGTGCGGGCCGCGGGCCTGGAAGGAAACCAACATGGCACGGACCCAGATTCTGTGCAGCCACCTGGAGGGCCACAGGGTCACGTGGACAGGCCGCTTCAAGTACGTCCGCGTGACCGAGATCGACAACAGCGCTGAGTCGGCCATCAACATGCTCCCGTTCTTCTTGGGTGACTGGATGCGCTGTCTGTATGGTGAGGCCTACCCATCCTGCAGTCCCGGCAACACATCCACGGCCGAGGAGGAACTCTGTCGACTCAAGCAGCTGGCTAAGCACCCCTGCCACATCAAGAAGTTTGACCGCTACAAGTTTGAGATCACCGTGGGCATGCCATTTGGGACCAACGGCAACCGTGGCCACGAAGAAGATGACATCACCAAGGACATCGTTCTCCGGGCCAGCAGCGAGTTCAAGGATGTGCTGCTGAACCTGCGCCAGGGCAGCCTCATTGAGTTCAGCACCATCCTCGAGGGCCGCCTGGGTAGCAAGTGGCCCGTCTTTGAGCTCAAGGCCATCAGCTGCCTCAACTGCATGGCACAGCTGTCCCCAGCCCGGCGGCACGTAAAGATTGAACAGGACTGGCGTAGCACGGTGCACGGCGCCCTCAAGTTTGCCTTCGACTTCTTCTTCTTCCCATTCCTGTCCGCCGCCTGAGGAGTGCCCGCCACTGGAGGAGGCTGCAGTGCATGTTGCCGTGAGCCCCACCCCACCCCCCGTGTGGCCACCCAGCCAGCTGGAGCAGCGCCGTGCAGAGCATGTGTGTGTGTGTGTGATGTGTGTCTACTCTGTTCTCACATGGGTAGATCCCATGTGCAGGGGCCTTGTGCTCACCTGTAGACTGCAGACCCCACTGGAGGGTGGTTCTCTATAGCACTGTCCACTTTGAATGCCAAGTGTCAAGAAATTGCATGCTGTCCTCACTCACAATCCTGCCCTTTACCTATAAAGCTGGAGATCTGGGCCTGGCCCCAAAGACCCCCATCCCGAAAAGCACTTTACAGATAGGAGTCTCCCTCTCAGCCCTTCACGCCTTCCTGCCCTTCCTTATTTTGTGTTGGATTTGTTTTTCAGAAAACCAAATACGTGTCTATGTAGATTTCATGGTAGTTTTCTTATTTATTTGGTTGCTGCTAATCCTTGATAGTGGTCAAGTGTCCTTCCTGGGTCATCCCCAATGGTCACATCCTGCCTGGCTTCCTGCCTGGGGATAGCATGTCCAAACTGGGCTCTGAACACTACAGCCTGCCTTGGAGCTCTCCCATCTCTGGGGGGGAGGGGGGGAGGGAGTTTGTGGGGATGCCTCTTCTGCATCTCCCAGGACCTGGGAAACAGTTCAAGAGTGTCCCTTTTCAGAACCCAGGTAAGCTCGGCCATGTTCAGCATGGCAGAGCCAAAAGCAAGGTCCTAAGGCAGCCGAAATAAAAAAGCTTTGAAACCCACACCCCTTCCTCTTGGTTTGTTTACAGGGAGTTTTGTCTGGTGTGTGGGTGAGCGTCAGAAGATACCTGAACCCAGACTGAGTGAAAAAGTGCCCCTTGGGTTGCTGAGGGCAGAACTGATGTCCACACAGTTGACCCCATCTGCTCAGTAGCAGACTGGCACTACACGGGTGTGAGAGTCTCCGAGGTCTGAGCCACAACCCAGCACCCGGTTCCAGCACATGGGTGTCAGCTCAGCTGTTGACCCTGGCCTTTGGGTGAAAAGTGCTTTGTGGCAATGGTCACTGGAACCCAGGTCACTTTATCATCTGCATGACTCAGGATTTGGTATTTGCACCACTGTATTCAGTCATGTGGAGTCATTCCACAGGGGCATAGTCAGAATTCCTCATAGGGGACTGGGCAAGTTAGGACGCTGCGCCTGGCCTGTTTCATTGATGTGGCAAGCACCATGACCAAAAGCAACTTAGGGGAGGAAAGGGGTTATTTGCCTTGTTATTTGCAAGTCATAGTCCGCCATTGAGGAAGGGCGGGGCAGGAGCTTAGGTAGGCTTGCTTAGTATTCTTCACTCACAGCCAAGGAAGCAGGAACCATAAAGGAATTGTGCTTGGTGGTACGCTCTCAGGCTCACTCACAGACCCATGCTTAGCTAACTTTCTTATACAGCCCAGCACCACCTGTCTAGGGAATGGGGCTGCCCACCATGGCCTGGGCCCTCCTCCATCTTTTAACAGTCAGGACAAACCCCATAGGCAATCAACTGAGCCTCCCTCTCGGGTGATTCAACCCTGTGTTAAGTTGATAGTTAAAGCTAACTAGGATGGGCTCCAGGTAGGCATGTGCCCCTCTTTGGTGTTATGTTTTGTTTTGCAGGGTCTCACTGTGTACATAGCTCAGGATGGCCTGAAACTCACTATGTAGCCCAGGCTGGCCTCAAAGTCAGTGATCCTGCTACCCCAAACCTCCCAAGTCCTGAGATCACACGGGTGAGCCACCAAGCTGCCACTTGATTTCTAGGCAGTCATCATGATTGTCTGGGACTCTTGTTACAAAGCACAGATGACCTCAGTTCGTCTCCACATGGATGGGGGTGTCTGTGACAACCTCATCTACAAGAAAGACTGGGTTCAGAGAGCCAGGACGGAACTCACATAGGCCTGCCCCTGGGCCACCACACTGCTACCATCACCTCATGACTGGTATCCCCTGGGAGTGGAGTGGACTCACGGGGAGAACCCGAGCTAGTCGTGGGTTCTGGGTGCCACCTCTCACTCTACTTCAAACCCTCGTGTGGCCAAGAGCCCTGCAAGGGCGGCTGTCCACAGCCTCCATGTCCCTGTCTGGGACAGCACTTCTCAGAGCTTCTTTGCAATGACCCCTGTGCAGAAATGGGGTATCATACAGCACCCTGGCGTGTAGCTAGAAGCATTGCTCTCCAGTCCGGAGGTGTGGGCTGGGCGAGGACCTGAGAAAACGTATGGCTACATGGAGGCAGCATCCCCGGTTGATGGGCAGCTGCTGAGCCCCACGCAGCATCAGACTCACGCTGTTTTGAGGGGGAGAAAAGCTGATTGTCCGGGAAGGTGATCACAAGACATCAATAAACCCTCCATAAACATGGGACCTTTTAAAAGGAGAGCATTCCTCAAAGGCAGAGCCTTGGGCCAGAGGCACTGTGACGTCCTTGCCGGCTTCCTATTTAAAACTGAAAACAGCAATGTTTAGATTGGAGCTGAGCTAAATGACCAGATCCAAACAGCGGACGTGGCTCCTGGCTGTCTGCACAGCACGCCAGCACGCAAGCAGCCCTCCTTCCTCCCGGCCGTCTAACCCAAACCCCCAGTATCTGTGACTTATGTCGGAAATATTTATTCTTGTCTACATTAGCTAGCTGCCTGAATGCATCCCATGCAACCATTAGGGAGACCTGAGAGTAGATAGGGCTAGTGGCAGGCTCCCCATCCCCAGATCTCCCGCTCCAGACTCTAAAACTTCTCTGGAGGCATCCTTGGGTCTTTTCTTTGCCTACCAGTCTTGAAAGTTGGTTTTCATCAGGGAGAGACCTGCCGCCTAAGGGTTCTGACCCCAACATGTGGTCTGAGACCTTCCAGCCAAAGCAAAGTCTCTGTCCCAGGCCCCATTCCTTCCAGGCAGGTCTTGATTGGGGGTGCAGCCTCCTTCATTCAGACCTGCACAGCCCTGGTCCTGCTGCCTTGCGATCCAACTGCCACCCTATAGGCCAGATCCACGGTAGAGCTGTCTCAGGAGGGCTGTCAACAGGATGCTCACTCTTGGTCCAGAAGCTGACTCATGCTCCGTGCCAAGGATCAACTGTTAACAGAGTTGTTAGGGGCAGAACCTGGGTCCTGGAAGCCCTTACTACACAGGCCTGGGCACCACCCTCCATAGGCCAACTAAACACACGAGGAATAGAAAGCAGAGAAAGGGGGTTATTTGGAAATAACACATTGGAAAAAGAAAGGTATCTAGTAACAGTCCTCTCCAAGTAACTCTAGGACAATGGTTCTCAACCTATGGGTCGCGACCCCTTTGTGGATTGAATGACCCTTTCCCAGGAGTTGCCTAAAACCATTGGAAAACACAGATATTTATATTATCATTAATAACAGCAAAATTACAGTTATGAGGTAGCAATGAAAATAATTTTATGGTTGGGGTCACCACATAAGGAACTGTATTAAAGGGTTGCAGCATTAGGAAGGTGGAAACCCATTGCTTTAGGGGACTTGAGATTTAGATAGAGGGACAGAGCTATGTATAAGCCCTGGTCAGGGTATCCCACTCATTGTCCCAGCTCCAGTTTCTCTTGCAAGGTGGCCTGACAAGTTGTCAGAATTGTATAAAATCTTTCTGGACAGAAAAGCTCTCCCTCGGGCTGGCATCATGGCCCCAGCCTTTTCCTTCTTCCAGAGTAACTAGGGAGAAATCCCAGTTTCTCGGGGTCCATTGTCTCTGTAGTCTGTGTCTCTCACAAACATACATCACAGCTGTCTGTCTGTCCGTCCTGTAGCACTTGATGGCAAACCTCAGGAATGGAATCTGGCTTCCCCCAAAGTCCTGCTGGAGGTGCTGAGACCCAGCTTGAAATCTAAGGTTTGTGGGAGCCCCGGGGTGCAGCACCCTAGTGAACAGAGGCAGGAACAGTGGGGTAGGTGTCCCCGAGGGCCGCTTCCTCCATGATAGTGAGGACCTGGTTTTAAGCTGGCCTTTGGATGCCCAAGAGTAATCTCATAACCCAGCTGCCCCGTGTGTTGATGCAAAACCCAGCTCTTGCTTCAAAAGGAATAAGAGGGTTTATTATGAGCCCAATATGAGTGATTGTGGCTGGGGCCATGACCATTTCAGGGTGTCCTTTTAGGACCTGTCCCACCACGGAAGTGGTCTCATGAGATTGTGTGAGCTGCAGAACAAAGTCAGAAACGAAGGCACTGTGGGGGAAGAGAGGTGGGCAAGGGGGGAAATCCCTGCTATAGGCTTCAGATGCAACCTGATGAAATGCTTAGCTTTTTGGTTGATGGAAGCTAGTAGTCTGCTACACATGTGTTCCAGGAGTTCATCTGATGGTCATAAGGATGGCAGGTAGGGCACAGGGTTGGGCAATAAACAGCCAGTAAGGGAACTTCAAACATTCCGTGATAATTTGGTTTGGATCTGCAACATTCTAACTCTCCACAATCACAGAGTTCTAATCAGTCAACTAACCTACTAGAATCTTCAACTCAGGCATGCCCCTATTCCCCCACCGCCCCCCACCTCAGGGAACTTTACACCTGCAGCTCCCTATGGCCAGGGAACAGATAGAGTCAATGTCCAGGTCACACCACGGACAGACAGAGGACCTGTTGCCCTTACGCTCACATGTCATCATGGTCCAACTGTTGGGACAAAGACAAACCTCGGTGACAAAGAGCTGAGAAAGAGTCCAAAGTCACCAGGCAAAAGTCTATCCCAGCTCAGACTTCCATGCAGAGATGGGAACCCATTTTGTGTGCTATTATTCAAAGTCTTCATGCCACAGGGCTGATGTGGTATCTCACAACCAACAGCACTCATCTTCCAGCCCCTGGGAGACGCCTCATACCAACCCAGAGACCAGCAGAGTGAGGTGGTACTGGCCAGGAGTAACAAATACCCATGGCCCTCCTGCTGGTCTGTCCAGGGGATCCAGATCCTGGCCAGACCCCACATTGGCAATGCCAGGGGTCCTGAGATGAATATGGATGCCTTAGGCCACTTCCGGTTGGCACTGGCTCCAGGCTCCAACTCAAATGCCCTCCCTGCCCTGTAGCCTCTTCCTGAGTCCCCACCACTCTCTGCAGCTGCTGCTGTTCTTGGCCTGGCCTCCAAGTCCCAGCATGCACTGCAGACTGTCTCACTTTTCTCTGGGACAGCCAGGACCCAATGGCACTGTGCAGCAGGATTGCAGGGGTCAGGCACAAGGTATGGGGGAGCAGTAGCCCCTCAAGGCAGGGCTTGTGTCCTCCAGGTCTGCAGACGGGAACAAATGGTAGAACTCATCAGGTTAGGGTGACATCCCTCAGGTCCACAGCCAGTGTCGAAGCTGAGTTCAGAATCCAAGTTCCCTCACCCTGTTGCACTCAGTGGGCCCTGAGGACAGGTGTTGGATGAACAGTTGGGTGATGGCAGAGAGACACTGACTTCCTAAGGACATTGCCGTCTGTCCCTTCACAGTGTTTCAGACAATACCGTGAATACTCACTGCTCTTACTTCTCTATTTCCCATGTTTGGACTTTGGGGATATTTTTTTATACAGACTCCCAGCTTTCTCTCTGAGACCCGTCGAGTCAGCTGGCCATGTGACTGACTAATCCTGACAGTGACAGGTAAAGATAGCTGAGCTTTGTTCCGAGGACCACACTGAAACAGTCACTCTGCACGCCAATGATGATTTCCAGCTCCGAAAGCTTTGGTTGCTAGGCAACAGTGCTGGAGGCCCAGAAACTTTGTTTCATCTGT